ATATTTATGGGACATATTCGATTCGCAAGTGTGTGCAGTGCACACAACGAGTTTCTCACAGTAAATTACGCGTCCACACATACGTATTCATTTTCACATTGATATGTGTTGATCCAACAACAAGAAATCCAACGTGTACAAGACGTATCTACAGAGTTAATATACGGTATAATTGAGTAGGCTTGAGTATGGTGCTCGAAAAAATTCGAACCGTTCCGATAACTGAACCGAAATCACTCCGAACCGAAAAGTAACTATTGACTGCTTGACTTTCTCCGAACCGAACTAAATCATAAAAATAATTGATACGGTTCTGAAGATTTCACAAATATCCATACCAAGAACCGAACCAAACCGACCCATACCGTACTAAACCGAAGAACCGAATTATAACATTAGATGTGCCTTATTAATATATTTTATGTCAAATGATCTTATATAATTTGAGAATTTTTAAAATGAAAATAAAATATAGTAATAAAAATTGGTATGAAAGGTTAAAAAAATGATTAAAAAAATATTTAAACCTTACTTATATTTGTCATTACTTTTCTTAGTCTTATACTATCTTATAATTAAAATGATATGAAAGATTAAAAAAATACATTTTTAAGAAAAAACTATACTATATTTTGTATGAGTTTTAAATTTCAATGTTAATTGAACAAATTTAGTCTTAACTAAAATCTAGAGTTACTTCTAAAGTTGGTTTTAAAATAAAATCTTTAGGTTAAAACATTGGTCCCAATCTGTACTATACGCGCTTTTTGGATTTTCAACCTATAGTATTTTTTTTAATTTTTTTATTTTTTTAAGTAAATTGCAACATGAACTTCATGAATTTTCATAATTTGTATGCTTGCAAATTATGAAGTATGGGAGAAGAAGGAACAAAGGAGAAAAAGTCTCAGTCTGGAAATCACCGATCTCGGCACAACAGTAACACTGCGAGGGGAAGGAAACTCCTGTCGCCTGTTGCACAGAGTTGATCGGAATTCGAGCTAGAAGAAGGCGCCAAAGGAAGACAGAGATGGTCATGGTAAGCAGGTCGGTCCAAATGACCCCGAAGAGAAGGTTAGGCCGATCACCCAGTTGTACTTCCCCTCTAGCCAAGGTTGTAGAAAATACACCTGGAGATATAAATCTTCACCTCATACCGTCTGAATCATCCTCTGAGATGAGAATCTGTTGGATCTGCTCTAAAATCTGGTCACTAAAACCAGCTCCAGAACCCAACACCCTCTCTAACCTATCCCTATTCTACGTCCCATCAGTCCACAGGTGTAACACCTGCAGGGAAGAGGAGTGAGTGACCTGCCTAGTGCTTGAAAAGGTTCACTCACCAAACTACCACTCGTCCCAAAAAGTGACCTCACCCTCTCGAAAAGGGCCCCTCACCACACTTCAGTCGGTTCACTACCGGATCTCGCACATCTTTCGCGAGGAGAACCGACTCTTTGGCTTCCTGGCCACCTAGGAGCCTCCACCCCCCAGAGGCTCACTTTCTTCCGTGACGAAGCCCTTCTCCGCCTTCGTACTCTTGTGCGAATGGACCAACTTGGTTACCCATCGTTCATATTCTAGTGGCCGTTTTGTGGTTTTCTTACTTTGGCCCACTTTGTGGTGCAGACTGTTCGTCTGGGCATCTATCATCCCAGGTACATACTTTTTGTTTTGTTTGTTGTTTTTCCTTTTTACTTTTGCTTTTGTTTTTGTTTGGACATGCGTAGACTTGTGATCTTTCCGACTCAATCAGGGACTTGACTATATATATGTTGAGAATCAGACCTTAATCACTCACCCTTTTGAGGTGCTTCTTCGTTTTTTTTTTTTTAAAAAAAGTACCTTGTGCTTTCGAAAAAAAAAATCTCCAGACCGTACCGATAGATGCTCATCCCTAATTGTTAGAAGTATATAATTGCCTAATTATTAAACATACTAATACCACCTAAATATATACTATCATGTTAATTAATGCACCACCTAATACCTAAATAATACACAATATAATTAAAAATGTACCTCAGTGATTACGTTTGTATGTGCTTATTATCCAACAACTAGAGTGTGCACTAAACACCCGTGTAGATAAAAATTTATTTCATAATTGTTGAAAGTGTGTGATTGTCTAACTATTTGATATACTATCATAATACAAAAGTATTTTTCTAAAACATATACTATTATGTTAATTATAATTAAGGGAGATGTTACGATCCCATTACAGAACCATTCGTTTGTAACCGTTAGATCATCATGTAATCGTAGGGGATAGTTGATTTAACTGTTACCAATCTTGACGGAATGATTCCGTAATGGAATCGTAGTATTTCCCTATAATTATAGCACCACCTAATACCTACACATAAATCATATTAAACAATACAATTAATTATAAAAGCACCATTTTACTTAGGTTTTGCCAATTTTATCTCCTCCTCCTTATCTTTCAACCTACATTTATTTCTTAACCACAACAAACCTTACCCATATATTAGTACACGCAAGCTTTTAGCCCACCCACAATTTGTTATTCCCTTCATCATCCATAAGATCTTTCTCTTCAATCCTCTCTCTCCCAAGACACACTCTCTCTCTATCCAACCACTTGGAGCAGCTTTGGGCTTTGAAAAAAACATCGTTGGCCAAGAAAACACGGCACAAATCCCTTCTCATATCGGATCTTGCACGAGGATCCGATTTTTAGCAATCAACCAATTTATCCGTGATATTTCTTGATTTCCCCAATTTTTTTTTCCTGTCTTGTTGCTAATTTTGTCTGGTTGCAATGACGAGGAGGTGCTCGCATTGCAGCCACAACGGGCACAATTCTCGGACCTGCCCGAATCGTGGGGTGAAGCTTTTTGGGGTCCGATTGACCGACGGGTCGATCCGGAAGAGTGCGAGTATGGGTAATTTGACCCATTATATGGGCGGTAGTGGTGGCGGTGGTAGTGGAAGCGCGACCCCGCAAAACGGCGTCGCTCATGAGTCGCCGGGGGACACGCCGGACCACCCCTCCGCCGGTTCAGGAGCGGCCGACGGATATGCGTCTGAGGACTTTGTTGCTGGGTCCTCATCCAGCCGTGAGAGGAAGAAAGGTTTGTTTTTATTATTTTGTGTTGACGATTTTACTCCAATGGCTTAGTTCTTTTTTTTTTTTAAAAAAAAAAGTAATTTAATCTGGGTGTTGTGTTTTGTGTGACGTCACTGTGTCTTTATGCGTGAGGTTGCTGATGGATGGTCATGGTGTGCTTGTCATTTGGATCTGATAAATTTCCATCTTCTCTGGAGATTCTTGATAAATGGTCTTTTAGCTCATGTTTTTCACGTGCCTCTGTAATTCTGTGATGTTGTTGCAGCTGTTAGTTTTGCTGATGATGTTATTTTAAATGGATGTTTGGTACCTTTGATAATTAGGTTTGATGTCCTAAAAGGATAAACTTTTCTGTCCTCTCCAACACCGAGCCAAAAGAGAAAGAGGGAGGAAATAAAATTGAAAAACCGAAACAAGAAGGCAGTCTTTGCGGTTTAATATGCCTGAAGCTGTGTAAATATTAAATACAAATGCGATTTTTTCCAAATTATGGTATTTACACAAGGGTCTTATCTCTGGTGTAGTTTAGTTTTTTTTTTTTTTTTTTTTAAAAAAAAATCCAAGTTAAAACCTTTTTCGAGAAAC